AGAGCAAGAGAGAGGGGCCTGGCAGGAGGGAGTTTTGGTGTGAGGTGTGAGGTGGGGCCTCTGGTCTGCAAGCTGCCTTGTTGGCCCAAGGGGGGTTGAGTGTTCAGCCTTGAGCGGGGAGGTGGGGGGGTGGGGTGGGGGGGGTTGGGCGTTTGGGCTTGAAGCAAATAGTTGATAAAGAGCCAGGCAGAGGGTTGAGTGGCCAGGTCACCCTGCTCTGCAGACAGCTTACTCAGCCTGTCCTGCACCTGACAAGGGGCAGCCTCTAAGTTCTTGGCCCTCTGATCACAGAGGAGTCTTGAGGTACCCATGGAAGTCTTTGTCCCCAGCTCCCTGGGAGGTTGGTGAGAGTTTGGGGCCTGCAGTAGGGCTCCCACTCACAATCGGTGACCTTTGGTGTCAGCAAAGAAGGTGTCCTGGCTGCCACTCCCAGTAAGCATGGAGGCATGTGACAAGCACAGAGCTGTGGGGCACGGGGCCTTGTGCACACACAGGGTGCAAGCTCCCAGGAGCAGCACGCAGGAGCACGGGGCGCCCAGAGGCCCAGAGGTCTGTGCTGTGGTGCATGACCCACTTCCAACCCTGCCCTGAGAGCATGCTGCCACCAGCACCCCTCAAACCCCCGGGTGGGGGGGCAGCAGGCACACAGAGCAGGGAAGGAAGGACTGGGCCCCAGCAGAAGGCACAGTGGTGGAGAAGCACCAGGCTGGCCAGGGAGCCCCTGCCCTGCCCTGGAGCTGGAGCTGGGGCCAACGTGCTCATGGACAGCACCTGTGGTTGACCAGGACACCGGAGTCCTGGGAACAGCACTGGTAGGGAAGTAGCAGACCAGGCTGCATATCCCACCAGGCAGATAGGAGACCTCCTCGGTGGGGGGGAGGCCGGTGGGTCTGCAGGAGGTCTGCAGGAGGTCTGCAGAGAGAGAGAGCGAGCGAGCCAGCTCCTTGACCTGCACTGGGGGCACCTTGCTCTGTCCGGTGCATGTGCACGAAGCCCGGTCCTTTCCAGCAGGAACTCCAGAGCCCGCGAGGGCAGTCAGGGAAGGCCATGATGAGGCCCAGAGCAAGTATCCTGGCGGGAAGGTGGATGCAGCTTGCCAGCTAGGCCCTGGGCAGGACGTGGCCTGAGAGTGTCCTGCCAGGTTCACACTGTGGCGTGCTGAGGTGGTGGACCTTTAAGAGCTAGGCCGGAGCCAGGGAATGAGGTCATGGGGCCTGATCCTGGGAAGGGCTGATGCAGGTCATACGGAGTGAGTCACTGTTGTAAAGCAAGACATGGGGGGACCACATGCTTGGTCCCTTCTGCATGTGGCCAGTCCCTTTCCATCTCTTCACCATATTCTGAGGCCTCACCAGAGACGAAACAGGTAGGCTGCCCAACTTAGCCTCCCAAACTTGAGCTAAATAAGTCTCTTCTTTTTATGAAATACCCAGCTCAGGTGTTTTCTTATAGCAACTTAGGATGGACCCAGACATGGATCTTGTGTGTCCAATCACCAGGAACTGGGGTATGTGTGTCCCGCAGCACAGATGCAGGAGACATGGGTAAGCAGATGTGCAATAAAGCTTGCTGGCCTGGAATCTATCACCTTGTTTAAAACCCCAGGTGTGGGGAGGATTTGGGGAAGCACCATGTAGCTCGCTCCTTCCCTGGGCCGTTCCTGCACGCACTCCTGGTCCTCATGCAGGCTTACCTGGGAGAGGCCGTCCTTCCAGGCCCTCAGGGAGCTGGGCCTTCCCGTGACAGCTTGCTCACTCTGAACCGGCAAGGATAGTGCTCAGGAGGCATATGGGGCAGGTCCTCCAGCAGGGTGTTGACGCCCAGTGGAGGCCTGGCTGGGGAGCTCCTGCAAGGACACTTGGGCTGTGGCTCCACTCCCGAGAGGAAGTATCATGGCGGGCAGGTGGATGCAGGTTGCCAGCTAGGCCCTGGGCAAAGGCCCTGGCAGGGAGGAGGAGCGCTGGGTTCAGCCTGTGGCAGGCTCTGGGCTGCTGAGCTTGTGCCTTTGAGGCCAGAGCCCATCAGGGCAGGAAGGAGACAACAGAGGACACACAGCATGTTCCTGTCTGTCCCCACACCAGCAGACCTGTGTCCAGCATATGGTCCTGGGGTCACTCCAGTCTCTGACCTCTCTAGCTACAGGTACCAGGCTGGGGCTGCCTTGGCAAGCAGCCAGGGTGGACTGGGCCTGGAGGGGACACAGCTGGCCACCTCACACCTGTCAGTCCATCCCTCCCTCCCAGGCCAGCCGTGGAGGGTGCCCCCGAGAGGGGAGCCCTCCAGGGCTGCTGGCTTTGGCTTTGAACCTGTCCTCGGGGAATATCCTGAGTCGGGGTGCTGGGGGACCTCTGGGCCTGGCCCCAGCACCCCGGTCCTGCAGGGGCAGCTTCAGGTGCAGGTCTTCCAATAGCACCAGGGCCCGGCCCAGAGGACGCCCAGGGGGCTGAAGTGCGCCCCGGAGGCCTGGTCCTGCATGTGGCACTGTGGGCACCGAGGGCTCTGTGAGGGCCTGGCCATGGCAGGTGCTGGTGCACTCCTAGGGAAGGACCGCGTCTCCTTGGCCCTGGTGGCCGCCTGCTGTCTGAGCATGGGACTCTGCCTGCAGCCAGCAGGTCAGCAGCCGACTTGCAACGGGCCTCCTCCAGCACCAGGAGATGCTTCCCTGAGTCGAGGGAACCTGGCCCCACTGGCTCTGAGACCCCTGCATCTCCTGAGTCGAGGGGCCAGGAATTCAGCATGGCTCTCCGTGCCCCGTCTGCAGTCGGTACCTGTCGTGCACACAGGTTGGAGTGTGTGTGTGCACAGGTGGGAGTTGCTGCCTGTCCCTCCTGTGTGGGTGCACCGTGTGACAGGCACCCCGGAGCCCTGGGCAGGGTGAGGTGGGACTTGCAGTTCCATGAGCAAGAGCCTCTATTGAGTGTGTGTTCTCCAGAGACCCCCTTTTCCAGGGGTTCTCAGCCCTCAGGGGGCAGCAGTCATCTGGGTCCTCCCAAGGCCTATGCCCAAGTTCAAGGCCAGTCTTAGCAACTTAGTGAGACCATGTCAAAAATAAAAAATGAAAAGAGCTGGGGTGTGGCTCATGGTTAAATGCCCTTGGGTTCATTCCCCAGTGAGCAGACTAAGAGCACGGCTCCGGCCGGGTGCTCTCAGGGGGCAGCCAGGAGCCTACGGGCACAGGTGGCCACCCTGGGCAGCTGGTGGGCCTACCCCCTGCCTGTGGCTTGCAGTTTAGGAAGGGTTTGTCGGGAGGTGGTCCCACAGGGAGTGGTCAGTCCCACAGGGAGCCGAGGAGCAGCTGATTTCAGTAAATGAAGTAGTTACAAAAACTGTGAGATTCCATTCTGCCTCCTGCCTGGTAGGAACTGAGAGGCCAAGTGTGGAGGAGACCCCAAGCCACAGGGTGCTGACTTGCTACCGACGGCAGAGGCACTGGGCCTCCTGTCGGAACACCTGGGCAGGGTGTGGGGGCCCCACTGGAACCGGGGAAGGGTCACGAAGCCCAGGCCACCACGCCACACACACGTCCAACAGCCAGAAGCAGCCCTGCCCCAGCAGGTGGGCCTCAGTCAGAAGGCAGGTGGGAGAACGGAGCCCTGGACAAGGAGATGCGTCCAACAGGTCTATCAAGGTAGGACAGACAGTCATGCCAGCCTGAGGCCAGGGAAGCTGGTGCCCAGGAGAGGCAGGGCAGGGTGACGGACATAAAACTCAGAGCCGATTCCCCAGGGTGGAGAGCTGCCTGCAGCGCCCTGCTGCTCCAAACAGAGGGAGGTGGTCAGGAACCGGAGAGCAGGAGACCCCAGAGGCCTGCAGCAGGGTCACAGGACGAGGCAGCTCGGCAGCCCAAGCCCCGCTCTCTGTGCACCCAGCACCCAGAGCCAGTCCCTGCTTTCTCCTGACCTCTGGAATGGTGCTTAACTCCTCCAAGTGGCCTCTCACGTGCAGGACAGGTCACTGTCAGAGCGTGAACACGCCAGGAGTGATGAGTGGGAACAGCACAGCAGCCAAGACTTCAGAGATGGGGGCTTCCGTGGTGAGCCTAGCCTGCTGCGTGGGGTCTGCCATCAAGCTGGCCTGGGACCAGTGGTCCCCAGCCATAGGGAACCCGCGGAGGGGCAGGATGTCCAGCAGGACTTGGGGACATATTTTTCTTCAGGGCTCTGGATACCAGGCCCTTAGGCCCAGGGGCAAGGCCATAGGTCCCTGGGATCTGCTCACAGCCCCCTGTCCAGGTGACCGTTCTACACGCAATGCAGCTGCACAGAGGTTTTCCAGAAAGGTCTCCTTCCAGGACGCGCGTGTGTCTGTCTTGTCCTGGGTGGCTCTGTCCTGCTCCCACCCAGGCTCAGACCTTCGTCCCGGAGGACGATGAAGGCTGCTCAGAGAGCCAGCTGGTGAGGATGCAGGCCTCTGCACACAGGGCCCTGTGGGAAGCCTGTCTGCCTGTCCCTCCGTGTTTCAGGCCCAGGGCATGGAGGGCTGGGTGCACCCCTGACTCCCACTGAGGAGGAGACCTGCTTCCACAACTCCCTCACCAGAGCTCCAGAGCCCGGCAGCACAGATGCTGGCGGACTTCCCCAGGGCCCCGCCACACAGGGGAGGCAGCCAGAGGAGGAGGAGATGCTGCCGGCTGTGTGTGAGACAGGTCCCCCTCCAGGACTGCAGAGCTCCTACAGCTCGGCATGGAAGGGGACACCAGTTTTAAAATGGGCGTCCGTCTCAGCTGCCGATGGACCTTTACCTATTTACCTGCAGAGCTGACCATCAAAGCCAGTGCCTCACACAGGTAGGCAAGTGCTCTACCCTGAGCCACAGTCCCAGCCCCTGGGCAAAGACCTTGAGGAGACAGACATGAATGTCAGTAAGCCACAAAGATGGTCACCGTCACGGTCATGAGGGAAGGTACAAGTGCCCGCCCAGAGGGTCACTTCACACCCACCGCAACTGTCCTAAAGGAGGCTGTGGCGGGGACGAGGAGGACGGGTGACTGAAGCGTGCCAGCCCCAGGCTTTGAGGTGGCCCCGTCATCTCAGGAAGCAGAATGTCAGATGTGGGGTTGACCGTGTGACGGCCCAGCGTGCTGGTGCAGGCCTGTGATCCCAGAGGCTCAGGAGGCCGAGGCAGGAGAATCACAAGTTCAAAGCCAGCCTCAGAACTTAGCCAGACCCAAAGGAAGTTAGGGAGACCCTGTCTCAAAACACCCAAGGCTGGGGTTGTGGCCCTGGGTCCAGAGGTACCACACAACTCAGCCGCTCCTCCAAAGGGGTGTCCTGGGGAGAAACGAACACTGTCCACACAGGGCTGGTGAAGGCAGTATCTCAGCCGCACGCAGAACAGCAGTGTCCACCATCTGTCAGCAACAGGCCCTGCGGCACGCCCACCACGGAATGCTGTTCAAGTCAGCCTTTATGAGGAGAGAGGCCCGTGAGCCCACTGTTGTGGAGGCTGGTGGGTCGCTGCCCAGCTTGGCTCTGGGGAGGACCTCACTTGGCAGGCAAGGGCTCCTGCCCTGAGCCACAGTCCAGCCCCATGGGCAAAGGTTTTGAAGAGACAGCAGGCGAGAAGAGTTCACAGGGCCAGACAGTGGCCAGAAGGAGAAAGAGACCTGGAACACCCTTCCATCAGACCCTGGGGACACCCTGGCCCACCCCCTCAGCAGGCCACACTGGGGACCAAGCTTCTGACCTGGGACTCGTGGGACACACTCAAACATATCCAAACTGAGCTGGAGACATAGCACCTGCAGCAAGACGGCAGCGAGGGTGACAGGTGGGCTCACAGAAACTGCCCGAAGACTGGGCTCGTGGGAAGCCGACTCGGGCCAAGCCAGCCCCTCACAGGCGGTGACGACACCCTGAGGAGCAGGAGGCACAATACACTGACATCGCAGAGCAGAGGACCCTCCGCCAGCCACCTGAACCCAAGGGAAGAGTGTGAGTTCTTCAGGGAGAAGCACAGGACATCCACAGAGGAACCCAGACGGCACAGAGTGTGAACGGGACGGACAGACAGAAAAGAGGACAGACTGAGTGAATAGAGCTTCACACAAAACGTGTCCCAAGTCCCGAGTGGGCCAAGAGGCCCTCCCTGTGGAAGCTGGGCTGTGGGGTGGCCGCTGTGGGCTGGGCCTGGAGCCTGCGGGGCTCTTGGGCCTCGGTGCAGGGCCACTGCACACGCAGGGCCACACCACAGGAGACTGGCTTCCAGCCCTTTGGGTGTTCACCCAGATGGGGAACCGCTGGGCCCTCTGGAGACTCTGGGCTTGATTATTTTCAATACCCTGATTTTATTTATTTTTATGTGGTGCTGAGGCTCGAACCCAGTGCCTTGCATATCACTGAGCCACAGCCCAGCCCTGGGCCTGATTTTTGAGACACCTCCTTACTATTTTCCACAGCAGCTGCTCCATTTTATGGCCCCCCCCACACCCATGGCCGTCCTGATGCATGGAGGTAGGGCGGTCTGCCCCAGGTACCTGGTGTAGGAGCAGGCAGTGGGCCCAGGTAGGACTGTGCAGTCCCCTGGGCAGATGGGGGAGTGAAGAGAGGTCTAAAGGGGAAGAGATGGAGGGTGCAGAGGACTCCTGAGGTGATGAGTTTGGAGGCCAAGATCCCTTCCTAGCCCACACCACAGGAGGGACCTCTCTTCCTGCCGTCTCCCCGGCTATGGCTCGCCCCCAGGCAGCTCTCTCCCAGCCCCTCATGCAGGATGGGTGGGGGCCTAGGCTTGCAGACCCCTGCGGCCACCCCAGGCCCATCCGTGACTCTACCCCCAGGACAAGTAACGGCAGGCTGCAGACCCAGGGATGGGCTCCCTGATCCTGATCCTGGGCCTGGCTGGGCTGCCAGGGCTGCTGGGGGCCACCTGGGAGAACCAGGAGGGGTGTCCACACCCAGCCCAGGATGGCTCCCCTCCACCACGTCCCTCCATGCCCTCTCTCTGCTGCACCCATGTCTGACCCCCCCAGGCCCCAGACACCCTAGGCCACAGAAGACTGGGTGGAGGAAAACTGAACCCTGTGTGTGGGCACAGGGCTGCAGGCAGGAGAACCAGAGGGCAAGGGCAGCCCTGGGTCCCCCATCCCCGCCAGCCTTCACTAGTCTCTGAGCCCCTCTTCGGGCCTGTGGCCAGGGTCAGGTGAGCAGGAAGCAGGGCCAGGACCAGGGTGCCTGTCCCTCCCACCTCCAGGAGTAGAGGGAAGCCTCCAGCACTGGCCAGAGGTGGCCCTGACAACAGAGGATGGCTTCTTGGCTTTTCAGCAGCTGTGAGTGAGGCTGCGTTCATCTCCCTGCGCTGTGGGCAGGTGGGGCCTGTGTCCACCTCAGGAGGGCCTGAACACAGACCTGGGCAAGGCCAGGACACGGCAGCAGGAAGGGTTCTGTCTCCCCAGGGGGCCAAAGTCTTCTTACTCTGCTTAAACTTAGGAGACCAACATCTGAACCAAGCCAGAGCCCCAGGCTGGGGGCACTGGGAGGGAGCCCTGGGCTCTGAGGGGCCTGACGTGGGCCACGATGCTCTCCCCAGGGTGCCACACATGGGGCCTTAAGAAAAGGCGTCTCTCCATCTCACTGGGTCAGCCCCAGCCCTGCCCCTGCCCCCACTCACTAACGGCAGTCCTAACTGCCCCGACCCAGGCCCAACTCCACAGCACTGCCCTGCTCGGCAGGCCTTCGGGGTCGCACGGACGGCAAGTGTGTAACGAGCACCAGAGGCGTCCTGCAGAGCAGCTCTCCGCCCTTGCTGTCCACTGTCACCTCTTAGGCAATGGGATATTCAGTATGTAGTAAGTCCCTGTGCCCTGGTGGCCTCTGGCACTGGCCACTTGCTCTCTCGGCCCACATTGGGACACAGTGCTCACACTCCAGGGAGGAGCAGTGTTTCTGCCTTGACCCTAACCTGGGAACGCATGGACACCACCTGGCTTCCTCCCTCCCTCTAGCCTGGATTTGCACCACTCTCCCAGTTCAGCAAGGTGGTGGAGGCCGACCGTGTGTTGAGGATACCTTCCTGCCTCACCATGGGGGCCAGGACTGGAGGCTGCTGGTGGGGCGGCAGCCACTTTTCTTTCTTTCTTTTTTTTTAGTTTTTGGCAGACACAACATCTTTGTATGTGGTGCTGAGGATCTAACCCGGGCCGCACGCATGCCAGGCGAGCGCGCTACCGCTTGAGCCACATCCCCAGCCCTGCAGCCACCTTTCAAAGTCTTCTGGCCAGGGCGGGGGCCGTGCAGGCCCTGACTGTGGTAGGGCAGCTGTGGCTAGAGCCCAGGGAGGGAAGAGGATGCTGCACCCTGCCTGCTGGGCCTGGGAGAAGAGGGCCATACTCCCGTGAGAGCCCCCTTCCTCTGCCCCGGAGCAGGTCACATTGGTCAGCACAGTGGAGTCCTCTTCCTGGGCTCGGCTCTGCTGCATGCCTCTCCTACATCCTGGCAGGGCCGCAGTGGGAATAGTGTGGGGATCAGAGAGGGGACACATGAGACGGGGCCCAGATGCCACCCCACACCCCACAAAAAACCCATTTTACAGGCATGAAGGCAGGCATGAAGGGCTTCTGCACCCACCTCTGTTCTAGCACGTGCTGGAGACCCTGCCCAGGGCCTAGGCATCTGGGATGGGTTTCTACCTGGTACAGTGACTTCTCGGAGAGGCCTCAGAGGTCATGGCCAATCTCTTAGCAGGAAGCTGGTCTCCACAGCAGTCCAACAGCCCCCAGGACAGGGTAGGTGGGAGCTTTTCTTTGGGCCCTGCCCAGGTGGTGGCAGCCACATGCCGGCCCTTGCGGCACTGGCAGACTGCCCAGGAACAGGCCGAGAGAGACACCCCGTGTGGCTGTGGCCATGGCAGGTCTCCCCAGCCTGGACCACCTGCCTTTATTTGAAAAGGGGGTGTGGAGCCTGGTGCCTGCACCCAGAGGCAGCTTCACACATCCCCATCAAGTGCAAGGTGCCTCTGAGAGCCTGTCAGGATGGCTGGGAGGGGCACTGCCGGGGACAGCCACAGGGTCCTCCGGCCAGTGCAGCTCCACTTACTGAGCTGAGGCCCTCCTCTGTCATGAAGCTGTGTTGAGTGCTGGGCCCCGGTGTCACTTAAGAACATCAAAAGACCAGGTCAGCACTTCCTGGAGACATGTCCCACTTGCTCAGGGCTGCTGTGGTGGGGTGTGGCCTTGTTGCTGCAGTGGGAGGGGGCCCACCCTCTCCTCCCAGGTCCTGGGCTGACCCTGAGCTGGAGCTTCTCGTGGTACCAATGCTGGCTGTCTTCTGGCACCAGCTGCCCTGGAGGCCCTCAGCTCAGCTGGCACCAGGCCCATTCTGGGACCTCTTCTGCCTGCCGTAGAGCCTCCTCTACTCATGCCCTCGTCCTGGCTGGAGTCATTCCTTTATCACCAAGTCCCCTCCCAGTGGCCTCAGCCCTTAGTACCTCCCAGGCTGCCCCATTCTTGGCTTTGACCAGCAGGCAAAGGCCTTGCAGGCTGTCGAGCCTGGCCAGCAGCAGGCACAGGGTATTTCTGTACAGGACTGCATTGAAGAAGCCTCCCAGTAGCAGGAGAGGACATGGGAGGGTGCAGTGCTAGCAGGGCCTGATCTCATAGCCTGCAGAGTGTCAGCTGGGAACACTGCAGTGTCAGGCGAAGCTCAGCTTTCCCTAGCCTCCTGCAGCTTTGCTCTCTTGCTCTGGCTGCAAAGGCTGAGGAAGAATCAGCTCCCAGGGCTCCTGGTCTCTGCTGATGGTAGCAACATGGTTCCATGGGCCCCAAGGCTGTGTGCCCTGGAACAGCATTGGAGCAGGCTTCTGGAGGCACCTCACACCAAGAGGACCCCAAGGGGCATATGTGTGTCAAATATCTAGGATGCTCACCCTGTATGCATTGTTCCGTGTATATGCTCTAGAGCCCAAGTGCTCTGATGCTTTTTCCAAGTTGCACTGCATTATTTTTATTTAGAGATAGGGTCTGGCTAAGTTGCCTAGTGCCTCACTAAGTTGCCTAGGCTTGACTCAAACTTGTGATCCTCCTGCCTCAGACTCCTGAGATGCTGGTATTTCAGGCAAGCACCACTGCACCCAGCAGCTGCATTGGTCTTTGCAGGAGAGACAGAGACACACACAGAGACAAACAGAGCAGCAAACATAGTCGTCGTCTTGTTGGGTCCCAGGTACCAGGGAGAGCCCAAGTGCAAAATCTTCTATGGGAGTTCTATTTGACGAGAGAGAGAGAGAGAGAGAGAGAGAGAGAGAGAGAGAGAGAGAGAGAGAGAGAG